CCCCGGCGGCGGGCAGGGGGCTCCGGGGCGCAGGGCGCGGCACCGGGGCGCACGGGGCTCCGCCGGCCCCCGGGGCAGCTGGGGGGGCTCTGCGCGCTCCCCCCGGGGGAAACGGGGCGGGGAGAGCGCTGGGGATGCGTGGGAAGCGTGTCCGCGGGTGGAGGGGTGCGGGGTGCGCCGGGCGTCCCCTGGGGTGGGAGGAAAGGGGGACCCCAAAATGGCAAGCTGGGGTGTCCCTGCAGCCAGGGCAGGCTTGTTGGGGCGGGCTGGGGGTTGGGGGGCGTCCAGCCGCCGGGCTGCTTGCTGGGCGCCCAGGGATGCTCAGAGCCTGACCCCGCTCCCCCCACGGCAGGATCCCGGCAGCACGTCAGCTGCTTTGGTTCAGACCGAGCCTTGTAGGGTAAGGAAGCCGGTTTCTTCCCAGCGACAGCAGCGGCCGAGCTGGCAGCCAGCCTGCCCGCCCGCCCGCCTGCCTGCCTGCCTGCCTGCCTGCCTGCCCGCCTGCCTGCCCGCCTGCCTGCCCGCCTGCCTGCCTGCCTGCCGCCGGCCCTCCCACCGCCCCCCGCTGCCTCCGGGCCGGCCGCCGGCACTCACCGGGCCGCACGCTGAGGATGGCACTGCAGCACGTGGCGCCCACCTCGTTGCTCGCCGTCACCGTGTAGAGGCCGGCGTCGGCCACCCGCGCGCTGCGCACCAGCAAGGTGTGCCGCTCGCCCTCCGCCTTGATGGGCCGCGCCGTGCTGCTCCGCAGCGGCACCCCGTCCTTCCTCCAGGACACTGCGGGCACACGCGGGGTCACTCCGGACCGTCCCGGGGCACGAGAGCCCCCCACTGACCCCCTCATCCCTGCCCAGCCTAGGGAACCCCTTTGCCCCACGTCCCCAAGGCCCCTGGTGAGAGCGGGGCTGGCGCCTCTCTGGTTCCTGGCATCCTCCTGCCCTCCAGTGGAGGATGGAGGAGGGAACCAGAGCCACTTAGCTCGTTCCCTCTCTCTGCTGGCTGTGCCGTGCCTGCTGCCTTCTCCCTCTCTCCCCACAGCCCAGCCCCATGCAGGGGGATCGCCCTCACCCTGCCCTCCACACCCCACCCTGGCATGTGGTGCCCCAGCCCTTTTTTTTTTCTGCCTGGGGATGCTCCCAAGGTGGGCACAGCATCCCCCTGAAGAGCACAGCCACAGCCCTGCCAGCCCCAAGCCACCCAGCTCGGGTGGCCCCAAGGGACAAGGACACGCCGGGGGGTGGCTGTGCCAGAGCCCATCATGCTCCCGAGCCGCGGGGTCGCTCACCTTCTGGCTGGGGGTTGGCCGTGACGATGCACTTGAGCAGCACCTCCGCCCCCACGGCCACCGCCGTGTCCTGGATGGGGATCTCAAAGACGGGCGCTTCCAGGGGGTCCTCGCCCGCCGAGACGTAGGAGTCGTCGGAGGACTCTGCACAGGGAGAGACGGCCCCGTGGCTGTGAGGGGGCGCAGCAGGCATGTCCCGTGCCACGCAGCCCTCTGCCCGTCCCCGGGGTGTGGGAGCAGGAGGGTTACAGAGCCCCCCACTGGCACCTTCCCCTGCTGGGTAGGAGGGACAGAGGCATCAGCAAGCATCACGACCCCAAGGCTCATTTTGTTGCCAAAACCCCCAGCCCCCAGATCACGCTGCATCCCCTCATCCCATCTCGGTGCTCCCCAGGGGCAGGCTGGGGTCCCGCACCCTGCTCAGGGACATCGCTGTGCCCGCAGGAGGTGGTAAGCCATGCAAGCCGTGCCCTACCTAGCTCCGGAGAGGTGGGCCGGGCTCGGCGCCCCTTCCCCTTGCTCCTCATGCTCCTGCCCTCCTGAGCCGCTGTCCGGACACTCTCTTTCTTCTCCGTCACTTTCGTCTGCCTTCTCTCTGCCTCCCTGCCTGTGCCGTGCTGTCCTGCCCAGCTCCTCTCCAGCCGGGCCTCCTGCTCCATCCCCGGCTTCGCCCAGGGCAGGAACCGCACCTCCGTGGGCGCCTCCGGCCTCCGGTACAGCCCGTGGGGCACGGCCAGCCTGGCGGCCAGGCCCTCGCTCGCCGTCCCGGGGGCCCTGGCTGCACCGGGAGGGCCCCCATCCGGGCACGGGGTCCCTTCAGCAGCCCCCCCTTGGGGCAGGGCTGTCCGCCCCTGCGGGGTGGCTTGTGCCAACGGCCACTGCTCCTTCTTCCTCACTTCCCCAACGCTTTCTTGCTGCGCACTCTTCCTCGCCTCCTCCGCTGCCGTGCCTGCCCCGCGCCGGGGCTTTGCGCCCCCGCTGCCCTCCCGGCTCCGGCTCCCCGTTGGGCCCCACCAGCGCCACGCTGGAGAGGGCCAGGTGCTGGATGACGTGCGTGCTCTCCGCCGGCGCAGAAACCTTGGGCGGCTGCACCTTGCGCCCGCCGGTGCTCGGCAAGGAGGGGGTGCGGGGGGCACGGGGGGCGGGGGGCTCGCTGGCCGGCTGGGGCGAGGGCGCCCGGGCTTTGCCCAGCTCCTGGGAGCGCCGCAGCTGCTGCTTGGACACCGTCCTCTTGATGCGGGTCAGCTCCTCCGAGAACTTGTGCTCGATGTCCTGCACGCGCCCGGCGAATTTGCCCCGCTCAGTCGAAGGAGGCGGCTTTCTGCCGGAAGGCCAGGCGCCGGCTCGCCGCGCTGCTGCCCCCCGCCTCGTCCCGCCAGCCCCCCGGCGTGCCCGGCCGCCGCGCCTCCGAGCCGGGCTGGTCGAAGGAGCGCGTCTTGCGCAGGGGCAGCCAGGGCCGTGCAGGGGAAGGGGCTGTCCGCCTGCTCCAGGCTCCTGCGGCGCTCCTCGAAGTACTGCAGCCGCTCGAAGATCCTGGAGCCCGCGCGCACCAGCTTGGGCGATGCCCGCACGGAGACGCGGCCGGACGCGTCGCTCATGGGCGTGGGGGGCCGGGAGTCCTGCGTGCTGCCCTGCGAGTACCCCGAGGATTTGGGCTTCTTGATCTTCTCCTCGTACTCCTCGGGGACGGTGTCCTGGTACTCGGTCGGCACCGAGGATTTCTTGCGGGGGGTGACGGGCGTGCAGGAGGGGACGCCGGGGCTGCGGGCGGCCGGCTGGGGGGCGGCTCCGGAGGGAGGCAGCGGGCACGCGCCGGGTCGAGGCGATGGTGAACGGATGATGGGCGGCTTGGTGGTCAGCGGCAGGGCAGCGGGGGACCGCGGGGGCTCGGCGCCGGGCTTCGGAGAGACGGGGCCGCTGTGGGGGTCATCCCTCCGGTAGCCCCCCTGGGGGATGCTGCTGCAAGGGGAGAGGACAGGGGGAGAGCGGGTCAGAGCCCTGTCCTCGTCTCCGTGCTGCATCAGGGCTCCCAGCCCAGTCCACGGCACCCTGTGGGCCAGGGACAGCCCCAAAACCCCTGAGGGGCCATGGCAGGGGGATCCAGCCACCGTAAGACCCCCGGGAGCTGGCTGGCTGATGTAACCCAGCCGTGCCTTCATTGCTGGGGGTTCCCTTCCCCAGGGACACCCAAGTGGGACAGCGACACTTGGGGCTGTGACGCCAGGACACCCAGCCAGCCCCCTTCCCAGGGCTGCCACTGCAGACAGGACTGGGGCACAGGGCAGGGGGGTACTCCCAGTTTGCCTGTGGTGTCCCAGCATGCTGGAACCACGCAGTGCACTCCCACTCTTCTGCAAGGCAGAGAGGTCCCCGAGGCCACGAGCCATCCCCCCCGTGCACATGCTGCTGCGAGCACATCCCCCGACCCCCCCGAGACCCCCACCCGCCCCCACGGGCAGCGCAGCCGAGTGGCACCGCCCCGTTCAGGTGTGCACGGTGCAGAAATCAGAGGGTGGAGATGAGGGTCTGGTGGAACAAGCAGCCTCGAACACAAAGGGGAAGATGGAGGTCGAAGGAGAAGGCCTGCAGGGGTGGGGACCAAAGGCGGTGGGGAGGGACGGGGGCTCTGAGCATGTCAGCGGGCCCTGGGGAGGGAGCACGTCCCTCGTCCCTGCTGCCACCCGTGGGTGGTGGGGACGGGTTGCTGCAGGTGCCCCAGGCTGCTGTGCACCCCTGTATCCATGTGTAGAGCCCCCTGGACAGGCAGGAGGAGGGTCCAGGTTGGAGGTGCAGTGGCACGGGCATTACCCCAAACCCATACTGGCCACGGCACAAGGTGTCCCCGCTCCCACCCCTCAGAAAGCGTGCCCTGTATCCAACCCCAGGGCCTGTCCACACCTCACCGGGGCCGGGCTGCCGACCGCTCAGAGCCTCCGTTCCTCATCCGGCCGTGGAGAAGGCAAAGGGAGCCCGGGCGGAGGGGAGGAGATGGCAGCGGGGAGGAGATGGCCCCAGCGCGATGTCCCCTCCGCGCACTTCCCCGGGCTACTTACACGTGGAGCGAGAGCGCCCGTCCTCGGTACAGGCTGAAGGCGCTGCCGTACGGGTCGCTGGCCACCGAGAGGCTATCCTCCGACCCCCAGCTTGTGCCCACCAGATTAGCCCGTGATGCCCGCACCAGCGGCTCCACGCCCAGGTGCCGGACCTCGGCGCCGCGCGGGGCCGGCGCGTTTGCTTGCCTTGGGGTTCCCTGCGGCTGCCAGGCACTGGGGCGCAGGTAGGGTCCCCGTGCGGGGAGGCTGGCATCCGGCTCCTTCTCCACCACAGTCTGCTGGCTGCCCGACCAGCTGGAGCGCTCCTCCGCCTGCGACAGGGCCAGCACCGAGGTCGGCGTCGTGTTCATGGAGGCGTCCACCAGGGTGTCGGAGCCACCTGGAAGGAGAGGGGTGAGCCGCCAACGGGTGCCCCTGGGGGTCCCCAGCAGCACCCCACTGACCCTCACCGCACTGGGGACCCCCAGGGCTGGGCTGGAAGAGCTCTCAGTGCCACCTGTGGTGTCCAAGCCCCCGGTGCCACCCATGTCTGAGCCCCTGGTGCCACCCGTGTCCCCGCGGCTCACCCGTGGGGGTGCTGAAGGCCGTCTCATCCTGCAGCTCGCTGCGCTGCGTCACCTGGGGGTCGCTGGGCTCATCCTCGCCGGTCTCCGAGTCTGGGGAGGGAGAGCAGGGGGTGAGGGGACACGGGGGCATGCAGGGCAGGCTGGCACTGCTCCTCGCAGAGCCACCAGCTCAGGCGGCAGACGAGCAGTGCCCGGGCAGCTCCAGGCAGCAGAAGGCTGAGGCGGTAGGAGAGGCATGACTGTGACACTGGGGACACGGAAGGGACAAGCTGCCGGCGGGGAAAGGCAGAACCAAGGCTGGAAAGTCCGGCGGGACCAAGGGCAGGAGCAGCAGTAAATGGTCAGAGGTGGGGTGGAGGCAGGAGGGGAGGTGGTGCTGGGGTTGCAATGCGGGGGAAGGCGGCTGAAATTGGGGTGGTGGAGACGAGGAGGCAGCACAGGGGGACAGAGGGGGCATCGCGACAGGGAGGGGGCCCAGGGGCCCGTTCTGGGAGCGGGGCTGGCAGGAGGCGGGCGTCTTCCTACCGTAGCTTTGTTTCCTGCAGGAGCGGAAAACTTCGCTTCCATAGGGGCAGCAAGAGAGAGAGAGACATCAACACCCGGTTATCGGCCCGGCCTGCAGGAGACGCGTGGGGCGCTGGGGGGAGACCTTGTCCCCAGCACTGTCCCCGCGCTGCCGCGGGGCACTGACCTGCCAGGGCAGCAGTCGGGTGGCCGTACGGCTCGGGGAGCCTGGCACCATGTGCTGGCCTCGGGGGCCAGGGCTGGGGCTGGGGCTGGGGCTGGGCGTTTTCCCCACCCAGGACCCACGCTGGGCACCCCATGCCCTGCCCTTCGCTATGGCAGGGGGCAGGCACCCACGGGGCATGGAGACAGGTCCTGGCACCCCCAGCCTTCCCCACCACGCCTGCTGTATGCCCACGGCCACCACACACCTCTCCAGCACTGAACGGTGCCTTGCCCCCCCCTCCATGCAGCATCCCCCCTGTGGAGCACAATGGCATCACCCCTCCCCTCCCCTCCCCACGGTCACATCCTGCCCGCACTGCAGCCAGCTCCTGCCCCTGCTGCTCCTCCTGCTGCCCCTGGGCTGGCTTTGTGCTGCAGCACCTGCACCTCCCGTGCTCTGCAGGGCACCGCAGCCCGGCGCCCTGCTGGGCACTCCTGGAGGTGCCTGGTGCACAGGGATGTGTGTGTCCAGGGGTGCACGCACTGCATCAGGAGCTGGTGTGCAAACGCACGTGCACATCCATCCCCGAGGCAGAAAGTGCTGCGAGGCGTTGCCATGCCCTGCAGCGTGGCTCTGGCATCATCGCTGCTCTCGGGCTCAGGCTGTGTGCTGCTGTGTGCCCCTGGGCATCAGTGGCAGCCCCCAGAGGCAGGATGAGGCCGTGCCAGCTCAGAGCCACCGCCATGTCCCAGCCCAGGAGCGCAGGGTTGGTGTTTCCTCCACGCCACCACCTGAGCCCCCACAAGCTGCCAAACAGAGCCCTCTGGCAAGGGACACGTCCCCTGCCCTGCCACAGCTCTCAGCGTGGGGGCCCACTGCTCCCCCCGCCTGCACCCAGCACACCCCCAGCTGCCCTGGCACTGCCTCTGCAGCAGGCTGCCTGCCACCGGCTCGCATCCCCAGCATGTGTCCGGACACCAGCAGGCTCACGGGGGGGACACCAGGAGCCCCCAGCCCCATTTTGGGGGCCGTGCCCAGCCCCGCACAGCCTCTGCTTGCCGCCCCCTCCCCGGCAGGGCGGCGGGGCCAGCTCCTGGTAACTCAACGCACCATGCGTGAAGCGCCCGAAGCGCCGCGAGTGGCCGGTCTTCTGCAAAGGAAAAGAGAAGAGAGCGTTACCCACGGCGCAGCCCCCCGCGCACGCCCGCGGGCACACGCGGCACCGCTCGCACGCCGCACGCCCCCGGGCTACCTGCAGCGCACGCCCCCGGGCACACGCCCCCCGCACGCAGCCCTGCACGGGTGTAGGTGGGCACGTGCGGCACATGCCCGGCTGTGCACGCAGCCACACAACCCCCCCACAGGTGCTGCTCCCCTCCTGGCACACACCTGGGCACCCTCAGGGCACACACACAGCCCCTGACACGGCCCTGCTGCCCACCCAAAGCCCACCCTACAGCCTGTCCTGTGCCCCAGGGGTGCCCGGCTGCCCCCACACGCTGCCCATGCCCAGGGGTGACAGCGTGCCCCAGGGTGCCCAAGCACCCCGCAGCCCCTTCGAAGCCACCGCCTGCGCCAGCGTGGGGCCTGAGCCAGCCAAGCACCTTCCAGGCGCTGGCCCAGACTCAGCCCCGGGCATGGGCCCAGCACGGGGACAGCGTCCCCAGCCTGGCGGTGGCCGTGCCAGCCGTGAGAGGCCGCCTGGCACAAGTGGCACGGGACGGCCAGCCTGCGAGGGGCGGAGGCGTGGGAGCCACGCTCGCCTGCGCTGTCTGGGCAGGAGGGATGGGAGTGCGGGGCTGAGGTGCCAGCAGCTCCCTGCCAGCTCCCTGCCAGCTCCCTGCCCTCCTCTGCACCACGGCTCGGGGCTGGCCACACGCTGCCAAGGAGAGACCAGCCCCGGCCACCCTCTGCCGTGCCCGGCAAGCTCACGGCAGGCAGGGCAGGGGATGGGCAGACAGGCAGGGCTGCCAGCAGCGGTCTGGGCAGCGGGGTCCCCCTGGGACACTAACACCCCGTGCCCTTGTTTCCCTGCCTGGAGCTCTGCGAGGCTCTCCTGCCTCTCCACAGCTCGCAAGCAAGCTCACAAACAGCCAGCCCCAGGGACAGACAGATATCCCCAGGGACAGGCGCCCCCGGGGACAGGCAGCCAGGCACGGCCAGCACTCAGTTGTCCTTGCAAGGGCAGCAGACTCATTTTGCAAGCCCCCGGGCTGCCAGCACTGCAGCGGCAGCCCCTGGTGGTGGGCAGCCCGAGGGGTCTCCCCCGGCCCCCTCCCTGCCTGTGGCGCTGGCCGGAGGGCAGCGGCTGCACGAGACACATTTGTATTCAGGCTGAGCCAGGCTTCACCTCCCCTCCTCGGCTGACTGTGCCGGTGCTGGCTGGCAGCCCGTCCTCCAGGCCAGGGAAAGACAGATGAGTGATTAACTGCACCATCGGCGGATAATTCCCCCATTAAAAAATGAAAATGCAATTGAGTGCCATTATCGGGTGCTCTCCTGGCTTCCCCGGGGACTGGCGCCACCGGCTCCCCAGCGGGTCTGGTGGCTGCACCCAGCGGGGCCGGGCTGGGCTCCCCACCCCAGGGCTGTGGGGTGCCCCCCTCCAGCCCTGCAACAGGTCCCTCCCGCCCGGAGCCCCCCTGGGTGCAGCAGCCCCGCGTGGCTCGGCAGGGAGCAGCACCCAGCCCCGCTCCGGGTGACGCAGGGTCACCTCCCTGCTGCTTTCGAGGAGGGGAGCAGCCCCGGGAAGGAGGTGGAAAGGGGGCAGGAGCAGCTCGGGACAAACCCCACGGGGCCAGGATCTGGGCGAATGGGCCAGCGGTGAGCGGGGGCTGTGCGCCCTGCCGGGGATTTTCGTTTGCAGCCCTGCACAAAGGGGTGGGGGAGCCCCCCCGGAGCCCGCTCTGTGCCCACGGAGAGGGGGAAAGGAGCCAGCAGGATCAGCACCCGGCTGCAGCCCTGCCCTGCTGCGCGGGGGGGTGAGACCTGGCCCTGCCTCGCTTCTCCCCACATCCTGCACAGACCCCCCCTGCCCACACGGGGGGCCTGGCGGGGGGCTTCTCCATCCCTAGCTATGGCCATGGGGTTATGGGGACTGGAGGGGGAGAAGGGGCACTTGGGGCCATGGAGCACGGCCCTTGGAGCCTGCCAGAGCTGGGCACGTGGAGCCCAGCACCATGCGGTGCCGGTGCCACGGCTGTGGGACAGATGGGACAGGGGCCGAGGGGAGGCAGCGGGTGGCCCTCCTGGGGTCCCCAGCGCACAGCCAGGACCCTGCCCTGCCACGCAGGTGGCCCTGGGCTCGCTGCCCTCTAGGGCAGACGGGGCAGCCAGGCGGTGCCCCAGGGGGAAGGATGCCCCCTTTTGGGCAGGGCTGCCACCTCCCTGCCGCAGCACGGGGCATCCACATCCCCAAACACATCCTGCGCCCCTCGGAGGGGGCTGCGGTGACATCCCCTCCCCAGCCCCTGCGGGGACACCGGGCGGGGTGACAGCAGGGTGGCTGCGTGCCCCACACCGGGTGGATGAGCGGGGTGGTCTGACGTGCCCCACGGGGGGCTCCCTGGAAGGATGCCCCCCATCCTCTCCCCCGCCGAGGCCGAGTGACGTCCTTGCTCCTTGCTCAGCGGCGGAGCGTGCGGCGAGGCCGCGGAGGAGCTCTGCCTGTGCCAGGCATGCTCCTGACGCGGAGGGGATGACGCATGCAAAGCCTCGGCTCCAGCTCCGTGACCACCGGCGGCGGGGCCGGGGGGGGCACCGAGCCGCCCCCGTTGGCTCCGGAGGGCGCGGAGGGGAGCGGCCGGCCGGGGGGGACCCCACCTCGGGGGGGCACGGCCGGGCTGCCGGGCCCGGGGCCGTGCCCAGCGCGGTGCCGAGCACCTGCCCTGCGCTCCTCCGGGCCACCGCCGGCGTGGCCCCGTTCCCCGGCGGCTCTGCAGGCGGGGCGGGGGCCGGCGATGCCCCGGGGGCCGGGGACCCCCCGTGCGCCGGGCGCGCTCCCTCTCCCCGCCGGCGCCGCCTCCTGCTGCGGGCGCCCGGCGGCGCGGCAGCCCGGAGCCCTTACCTGGAAGCGCTTCTTCACCCAGATCTTCTTCATGCTTCTGCAGAGCCCCGGCGGCCCGGCCCCGGCGGCTCAGGCCCGGCAGGACGCCCGCCCGCTGCCGGCGGGGGGCCGGGGCTCAGCGCGGCGCGGGGCCGGGGCCCCTCCGAGCATCCTCCCCGGCGGCAGCCGGGCACGGCCGAGGGAGAGGAAGGGGCTCGCCGGGTCGGGCTCTCGGGAGGGCTGGGGCTGTGAGCATGAAGCATCACTCGAGCGCTCCTCCCTCCATCCTTCCCCCGCCTGCCTCCGCCTCCGCCTCCCCGCCAGCCCCTGGCACGCAGCGGCGGCGGCGGGGGCCGGGCGGGGCGCAGGTGGCGGGGGGCGAGGGGCTCCCGGCCCCCGCTCAGCCCCCTGCCCTGCTCCGTGCCCTGCCGTGCCCTGCGCCCTGCCCCACCGCCCGGGGCACGGGCTCCCCCCCTGCCCCCATTGCGCCCAGCACCCTGGGGCGCAGCCCACGCCGGGGCTCCCACGCGCACCCCAACGGCAGATAATGTCCCCAGTGTGCCCACAGACAGGCCAGCTCTGGTGCCCTGCCCAGACCCGCTCAGCACCCCCCAAGCCCTCCACCCACGGGTGACAGCACCAGGCCCCTCTCCGCGCTGTGGGTTTGGGTCCCGGCACTGCTGAGCGTCCCCAGGGTGCCCACACCACCCCATGCCCTGCCCGCCAGGTTCCCGCAGAGGCTGCCAAATTCCCAGCCCAGCAGCCAGCCACACTGCTTCCTCCCACCTGCGAGACCCCCGTGGGGACACAGCTGGAGCCTCCCTGTCCCCGTGCTGCTCACCTGTCCCCCGGGGAGGAGCCCCCCCGTGCCGCGCTGCAGGCGGGCATCACACACACCGGGGCGCACGGCAGCTCTCCTCCCAGCCCCTGCCTCCCAACGTGAAGCTTTTCATGGCTTCATAATAACTTGCAAATTAGCCAGCACAAAGGGAGCTGTTTATACAACATTTCTGACAGCCCCACGATCCCAGTGATGCTGCGGGGTTTCCACGGAGACCCCGCACGTCAGGCGAGTCACGCGAACGCCAGAGCTGGCACAAAGGGAACCTCCTGCCAGAGCTGGGGGACGCTGCTGTCCCCCGCAGCCTGGCACCCCTGAGCTGAAGCCCCCAGGTACAGGGGCTGGCCGCACATCTGGGTGTCACCCTGCTGCCGCACAGCCCCCCAGCACCTGCTGCCCCATCGGTTCCCCGGGCACGGAGCCCTTCCTGCTGCTGAGGATCTGCTGCCCTGGCCATCCCCAAGGAATGGAGCCCCTGGGAGAAGCTGGGTCCCCAAAATCCCCTTTCCAGAGGCAGCAGCACCCTGCAAACCCCTCTCCTTGCTGGGTCTCCCCTGCGCTCCCCAGCACGGATCCTGTCCCCACCACACGCTGCATCACCAACCGGCCACCGGCTGTGGCCACCAGCACCATGGGCTCGGTGGCACTGGGTGCTTGAGTAATTGGTGGCTGTGGGTGCACGCAGCTGGCTGGGATGCGAGGAGGGGGTGAGATTTATTTTTTTCCCAGGGGGAAATAGTCACAGCAGGCTCCTGCACAGGGCTGCTCGTGGCCTGTGAGAGGGGAATCCTGCAGGCTGGGGCCAGCACGGGATGCGAAGGCGTTGCGCAGGTAAGATCTGCACGGGGACAGACCTTTGGGAACGGGTGTCACCACGCCTGGTACGAGCAGTGCCCATGTTCCCAGCAGCAGGGAGCAGGTCCTGAGCGTGCCACACACTCCCCCAGGCTACAACCTGTCACCATCATCCCCCTGCCCTTGTCACTGCTCTGCTGGCTGTCCCCTCGCCATGGAGCACAGCATGGCACAGCCTGGCTGCTGGGGACACCCCAACTCCCCAGCATCCCCTCCCCTCACTGCCACTAGAAGGATGCCGAGCGCACGGTGCCCGCTGCAGGCAGAGGACACGGGGACGCAGGACAGCAATGTGACCTTGGCTGCGGGTGCTGGGCATGGGGTGGGATGGGAGGGGACATCTCCTCCCCGCCCTGCCGGCACCCCGTGGCCGGGGGACAGGGCGCAGAGGGCACAGGGGGCAGCGGACACGGTGCCGGAGGGGCACGGGCTGTGGGGCAGGAGGAGCAAAGCCCTCCCCAGTGCCACCAGTGCAGGGAGCAGTGGGAGCCGGGGGGCAGCCCCGGGAGGAGGAAGGGGCCGCGGTCCCACACGCAGCCCCGAGCGGCGGTGCTATATTTACTGCATGCGGGCCCGGGTCTCGGCCTCTCGTGTGTAACACAAGCCCTGCAGCCCGCGAGAATCCGAGGGGACGGCACATTCCTCAGCAAAAATAACCCCCCGGCAGCGGGAGAGAGGGCAGGGGTGGAGGTGACTGACTGGACAGCTGCACACGCTGCTCCCCTGCCCGGTCCCCACAGCCCCAGGAGGGGACCCGGCCCCGGGGGGCACCTGTGCGAGCCCCATGCCCAGGTGGCTGCAGGCAGAGCCACCTCGGGGAGGTCCCCAAGGCCCCGTCCCCCCTGCACGGCCCAGCCTGGGGACCTGTCCCTGAAACCAAGGTGGCACCAGCTGTGCCATGCTCAGGTGGGACGTGGCAGCCCCCACAGACACCGTGCACACCCCACGGTGGGGCCAGGGTGGGCACAGCGGGGAGATGGGGCAGAGCTCCAAGGGGAAACTGAGGCAGCCCCGGAGAGAGCCAAGGGAAGGAGCTGAAGGCAGAGGGAGGCGTGGGGCTGCGTGCAGCCCCAAAACGCTCTGCAGGGCTGGCAGGGGCTCCGGAGGGAAGGGGCACCTGGCACAAGGCGCAGACACAGCTCTGCGAAGTAAGGGCCTAAAATTAGGCACTGAGATAAACGGCCAGAGGTGCCGAGCCACCGGAGACACTGTCAGCATGGCCGTCCACACCAGGGCTACTCACCACCGCACAGCACCAACCGCAGAGGCCCCACTGCTGGGGAAAAAAACAGGGGGCAAGGGGGGCACTGTGCCAAAACGCACGGAGCCCCCAGGGCGTCCCCCACGCTGCAGGAAGGCTTCGCCCCCAGCAACAGACAGAGGGAAGGGGCCGTGCGGGGCCACCGCACACGGACAGCCCCGTGTGCCTCCCCTGCCCCTGCGCCCAGCCTCTCTGCTCCCCGAGGAGGAAAGGTTACAGGGCGCCGTGATTGCTGAGTGCAGGTGGAGGCGAGCGGAGAGACCCTGCGCTGGGGCCGGGACGGGCAAAGCCAACCTTGAAATAAGATGCAGACCCAGAGCTGGCACAGGCGAGGGAGGGCTCGGCTCTTTAAAAGGAGATTAGCTGGAGTTTTTGAGAGGTGATTTAATCCGGCTTACGGGGAAAAATTCAGGAAATGCAGCCGAGAAGTGATACAGGCATTAGCGGGCCTGGAAATGATGGAACTACAGGTGGGGACCTGGGAAGGATCTGGGGTCTGCAGACCCCTGAGACCCCAGAGCAGCCTGGTGTTGGTGGCAGTGGGAGAGGGGACACACCCCACCCCACCCCACCCCACCTACACCCACAGGGCCAGGAAACTGAGGGAGAACCTGCACTGGTGGTGCAGGGGCAAAAAGGTGGGACACAGGGGGGCAGCCCACCCCGGGGACCCCTCCTGGCCAGCCCCACGCGTGTGCTACCCCGATCCCCACGCCAGGCACTGACACACGCAGGGAGAAGAGCAGGAGAAAATCATTAGTGGGGTGGAGCGACAGATTCAGGGCAAGGGATTAGAAGAGCTAAATCGGGCTTGTGCGAGCAAGGGGGAATGCAGAGCCGCTGCAGGAGGACCTGCCGGGGCTGAGCAGCGGAGCCGGGCAGCACAGAGCCCCCCCACCCCTCCAGCCGTGACCTGAGCCACCTTGGGAGAGCCAGGCGTCAGCCCCACGGAGAGCTGCAGCTCAGGGGGAGGAGGAGGAGGCGGAGGACAGGGCTCTGCACCCACCGGAGACCTCTGCACCCCCCAGACACCGGGGACAGGGCCCCCGAGCCCAGAGCAGCACCCCGTCCTGCTGGGGCACCTTGCGCCCATCTGGCCATAGCCTGACCCACAGAGCACCCAGGGAACAAGGACAGGGTGTCCCTGCCCGGCCCTGCCACCAGTGGGACACCCACGACCCCTGGAGAGCCGGGTCCCCAGGAGGGGAGCCCCCCGAGCAGCCGGAGCCTCGGTGCTGGGTGCCGGCGAGCCCATGCGCCGGGGCCTGGCAGGGTGTCAGGGCAGGGCTGCAGGGCCATGGCACGGCTCCTCCATTTCACATGACGCCCCGTCTCACCGCACAGCTCCGGGCACGGACAAAATGGACTCAGGGGAACAGCACGCCTGAGCCCCACAGGCCTGGCCTGCTGCCTCCTGGGGGTGCTGCGCCTGCAAACCCCCACCAAACCCCTCAGCACGGCCTCCCCAGCCTCTCCAGCACGGGTCCCTCTGCACCTGGGCATTAAGCTCCGTCCCACTGCCTCCTGAAGCCTCCCCAGCAAAGGGCTGGGGATGTGGCACTCACGGCACAGAGAGCGCAGTGCCCTGGGGCAGGGCTCAGCCACCTCTCTGCCCCTGGGGTGGCTTTTTGGAGGCTGTTTGCTCCAGGCACAGCATGCCCGCAGCCCCAGCGCTGGCTCGAAGGAGGCGCCTGGGGCAGGGTGACATTAACCCAGCTCGCAGCCCCGGCTGCTCCAGAAACGTGGCCGCCAGGGCCGGAGGCTGGGAATCGGGAGCAGGGAGGCGTGCGTCAGCACAACGGGAACGGGCACCGGGGGAATCAGGCGGTGCCCAAGGCAGAGGCAGGGCTCGGGCTGGTGGCACCAGGCAGAGACACGCTGCTTGTCAGAGCACCAGAGCAGGGTGAAGCCCACGGTGCAGAGAGCCTCGGGCACCCCACACACACAGCACCATCGCTCCGTGTCCCCCCAGCAGCACCATCCCCAAAGCGGTGCAGCGTGCAGTGACCCCACAGCTCCCTGCGCACCTCTGTCCCCACAGCACGCTCCATGGCAGCAGGAGCGCCTTCCTCAGCCCTGCAGGGATGCTCCCCATGGCAAAACCCCTGCACCCTCCTCGCCCACAGCCCCAAGGCTCACACGGCCGCCCTCTCACAGTAGGGGACAGCGGCACATGGGGACAGAGCCATCGCAGTCCCCACACCAACGCATGTCTCAGGGCAGCACCACCACGTGCTCCCCAATGGGGCTGCCTCCCCACGCCCCAGGGATGCGGCATCTGTCCCCAGGCAGCAGGGGCTGCATCTACGAGCACAAGGTAGCCATGGGGCTCTGAAAACTCATCAATGACTGGCTCCTCCCACTGCTAATTAACCACCAGGCCCTGCCCACTGCACTGCACAGGCTCCTCCCTCCTTCATCAGCCCCCTCCCCCAGCTCCCCACACCTCGTGTCCCAGTCCCCCCAGTTCCCCCAGTGACACCACGGCCACCTGTGCCCACGGGGGTGGCTCGGGTGGGTGACAGGGGCCACAGGAGGTGGCACCTGCCGGTGCCGTGCGCCCACACCGGGGGGTCTCTGTCTCTCTGTCTCTCTCTCCTGCTGCCCCACGCAGGCCCACCACCACAGTGCCCCTGCCACCCGCATGCCCGGCGCTGGCACCCTGCCTGTCCTGGCAGCGGGTGCTGCAGCCACATGCTCGCTCCCAGGCCACCGAGCTGCCCCGCTGCCACCGGCACCGCCACCCCAGCCTGCAGTGGGTCAGGCACAGTGGAGCCCAGCCCCGGCTGGCTCCCGGGCATGCAGCACGGGGGAACTGCAAAGCACAGCCACCACACTCGGCACGGGGCAGCCGGTGGCCACGGGGAAGCCGGAGCAGCGATGCTGGGGCGGCGCAGTCCTTACCTTCCATGTCAATGATGGCCAGCACGGCGCTGGTCATGGCCTCTCCGCGCTCGTTCTCGGCGATGCACGTGTAGACGCCGGCGTCCTCCTTCTTGCTGTCGCGGATCCACAGCGTGCCGTACTCCTCCTCGTGCGGGGCGAGCTGCTCCTCGTTCCTGTACCAGCGCAGGCTGGGCCGGGGGTTCCCCACCGCCACCACCCGCAGCCGGATGTCACAGCCCGTGCCGATGGCCGCGTTCTTCAGCTTCCGCACGAAGGCCGGCGCCGCCAGGCGAGCGGGGCCCCCCTCGGCCGCCCCCTGCTCCGCCGTGACCTTGGCTCTCTTCGGGGGGATGCCGGGGCTCGGCGGGGCCGCCCCTGCTCTCCCCATCGGCCGCCCGGGCTCCCCGCCGGCCCCGCTCATGCCGCCGCGTGCCCGTGCCCGGTGCATGGCGCACGGCTCCCCAGTGCGCTCTGGCAGCCCCGCGGCCCCGACCCCACAGCCCCGCGCCCCTCTTCTCTTCTCGGGCCGCTGGGTGCCTGCCAAGGGGTGCCGGTGGCGAGGCGGTTCCCCGCTCCAGGTGCCGTCCGCTTCGGTGCCTCCCCCCGGCCGGCCGCAGCCCCGAAGGTCGCAGCGCCGTGGGCAAGCTGGGGGCTATTTTTAGGCCGGGGGCTCAGGTTGCTGCTCGCTGCGTCGCCGGTCACCGAGCACCCTGGGTGGTGCCGCGCCCCCTGCCCCATGCTCCGCCGCGACCCCGGCCCTCCCTGCGCCTCGGCACCTGCTCCGCCGCCTGCCCCGGTGCGGGTCCCGCGGGTGCCGGCGCTGCCCCGGTGCTGGGGCCGTGGCTGTCCCCCCCTCGCCTGTCCCGTGCGGCCCCCGCAGAGCTGCGCTCCCTCTGCCCCCTCTCCTCAAGTGGCAGCTGCCTCTGATATGTCACATTCCTTGGCCGGGCTCCCCCTCTCCGCGCCCGCCGCGCCGGCCCTGCCGCACAGCTCCGCTTGCAAAGATAGAAAGGGGCCAGCGCCTTGCCATATTAGCAGCGAGGCCGGGGGGGAGGGAAGCAGCCTTCCCCATCGCCGGCTGTGTCACCGGATCAGGACAGAGAGACCCTGGTGGCATGCGGAGGGAAAGGACACCCTAATGCTTCCTGCAACGCGAGACCCCGCGCAGGAGCCGGGGGCCGGCTGGCGGTGAGGCCGGGCAGGATCCGGCCCCGCAGGGCTCTCGAGGGGGCCTGTGGGCACGGGGAGCAAAGGGATGCTGTCTGGGGGGTCCCCATATCCCTCCTGACCCCAAATCAGCCCTGTGCATGCAGCAAAACCCCTTCTCTCTGCGCCCTGCCTCTCTGCCCCGGCTCGCGGCAGAGCAGGAGCACCCTGCTGTCAGGATTTTGGGGTGCCCCCGGGGATCCCAAAAGCTGGGTTCCCTACAGCCAGCAGCCACGCGTGGCGCCTCGCCACCCCCTGGCAAGGCAGGGCTTCCCCGGCTGGTGGATTTATGGCACCCGCCTCGTCACCTGGCCCCGGCCACCCTCGCCAGGGGCTGTAAATCTGGGCGAGAGGATGGGAGCAGCGCGGCACAGCGCTTCCCCTGGCTGGCTGCGCCACAGCCCGCGGCCACCAGCCCAAGGGCACCGTCATTAGTGGCACAGCCCCAGGGCTGGCGTGCCGAGTGCCAGGGGGGCTGGCGGGCAGCCGGGATGCCCCAGGACATGCCGGGGTGGGGGTCCCTGCTACCCACATCCAGGCCTCCATGGGGCTGGGGGCTGGAGGAAAAGCTGGAGAGCCTTGGGGCACCTCTTGGAGAGCCTTGGGGCACTGCTGGCCGGGCAGGGACAGGGCTGCCCGGTGTCATCCCTCCCCGGGACAGTGCCCGATGCCACAGGGCCACCTGCTGGATGCAGCCCTGGAGGTCTGACCCCCTCCAGCCCTCGCTGGCTGGCCCCGTGGCCAAATCTGGGGATCCCCACGCTGGCACCAGGCTGGGGGCTGCGCTGCCTCTCTGGTGGCAGCCCCGTCCCCGCTGCTGGTGGCAGCACCCCGCAGCTGGCTGGTCCCCATGGGGACCCCAGAGCCCCTGAGAACCTGCGCAGGGCTCAGCACCCTCGGGACACCCCCAGGAGTGGGGCTGGGGACCCCACAACCACGGGCGGTGAGATGTTTTGGGGTGCCTGCAGTGTGAGCGACCCACTTTTTGGGGAGATCCTGGATGATGGCGCAGGGGGATGTGCGAGGCCGGCCCTCGCCCCTTCTGCTCCAGCAAGGGGGGGCCCGATGATGCCCCATGGGTGCCGCCACCCCCCCGCCCCCCCGTCCAACCCCCCAGAGCAGCACTCGGAGGCCGGGCGATGCTCCGCTGTTTATTTCAGCCGCCTGAAGAGTCACGTACACGCGGTGGGGTGGGGGTGCAGTGGGGCGAGGGGTGGGGGCGCCTGCCCTGGCCCCCGGGCCTCTCTCCGGCTCCTCTCTTCCTCTCCCCCCTCTCTCCCACTCACTCACTCCTCCTCTCTCCCGTGTCCACCTACGGGTTTCCTCTCGGCTCACCCAGCCCGGCCGTCCCTGCGCAGCCTCCTGCTGCCGGGGACCCCCTGCATGGGGTGGGGGCCGGGCGCTGCCCTCAGCCCCTCGGGGCTGCCTCTGGGGCAGGGGGGCGGCAACATGGGCTGGGTGCACCCCAGCCTCTCCCCATCCCCGGCACCGCTGCGGCCCCCCCAGGAGAAACGCCAGCTCCGGGGCGGGCGGCGGTGCCGGCACGGGGAGACGGGTCCTGCTCCTGCGGGACCGACCCCGAGCCTGTGCCCGGTTTGGGAGGGGGCTGCGGGGCGCGGGGGGATCCAGAACCCGCTGCTGGGACCCTCCGGCTCTCCGGCGAGCTGGCCGAGGCCACCACCTGCTCCCCCCACCCCGTCCTGCCTGTCCCCTCCGTCCCTTGCTGCCGCCCCCCGGCCCGGCCCTGATCCTGACGCTGGCTGCCAAGCTGCAAAGCGCTGCGAAGCCGAAGGAGAGAGCCCGGGGGTGTAGGGGGGAGCCCGGGCCGTGCCCGGGGGGCTGGGGAGGGGGGGGGATAGGACTGGGGAGATGGGGGTCAGGACAGGGGCTGGGCGCCGGGGCGGCGGGACGGAGGAAGGGACAGAAGGTGCCGCTGGGCAGCGTCGTCTACAGCACCTCGTGCTGCTGCTGGGTCGCCTCGCTCACCACCTGCGGGGAGAGGCGGCGTCAGGAGCTGAGGCGGCCCCCCCGGAGCCAGCCCCCAGCCCCACGAGGGGGCCAGGCACCGAGCGCGGCCCCCGCCTCGCCTCCGGCCCCGTGCTCACCTCCCCATCCCGGGTCTCGATGGTCTTGATCATCACGGTCTTCTTGGTGTGCACTTCGGAGCCGCGCTGCTCCGGGCTGGTCTCTGCGGGCAGGGGACAAGGGGGTGGCACCAGGGTGGTGGCGGCCACCGTGGGGAATGCGTGGCACGGGGGGGGCGGTTGGGCTGGGGGCAGTGGGGCCGTTCTCCACGTGCCCTGCTACCGACAGGGTCTCCAGGAGCTCAGGGCTCACCCCCAGCTCATGGCAAGCACCCACAGGACCCCCAAGGACCTGCCCAAAGCCACCCGAGTGCGTCCCACAGGGGGGCCGAGCCCCCTCCCCAACTCACCTCTGAAATTGAGCGCGGAGGCGAAGGCCTGGTGCATGGGGATGCTGATCCTGCAGGGACACAGATGCAGGGAGAGCTCAGCGCCAGCCCTCGCAGCGGGGTGGCAGCCCCCCAAGGCACCATGACCCCACCGCTGCCCCCCTCATCCTGCCCCCCTGCACCCCTCACCGGTTCTCCTCGCCCTCCAGCAGCTTGCGGTACGTGGCGATCTCCACGTCCAGGGCCATCTTGACGTTGAGCAGGTCCTGGTACTCGCGCAGGTGCCGGGCCATCTCGTCCTTCAGGTGCCGGATCTCCTCCTCCAGCCGCGCGATGGTGTCCTGGTAGCCGCCCGCCTCCCCAGCGAAGCGCTCCTCCATCTCCCGCATCTGGCGCATCAGCGAGTCGTTCTGGGGGGACAGCGGGGTCAGCGGGCTGCTGGGGGGCTGGGGGGCACCTGGGGTAGGAGCTGGGCTGGGTGCCGGGGCTCTGGGCATTGAATCTTTGGGGCTTTTGGGGCACCCCAAGCAGTGGGAACCCCGGGTCAAGCTGATGTGGGGTTATCACCTTCAGCAGCCTGGGCAGGGGGCGGGTGAGAGTCCCACCCAGGGTGCCCCAGAGCCTCCAGGGTGCCAAAATAACCCCTCACAGGGCTCCAAGGAGGGAGGGGAGCCCAGCTTCCCGGCAAGGCCACCCTTGGAGGGTGGGGAGCGGTGCAGGAGCACAGGACAGCTGCCGGGGGGGGCACAGCCACTCAGTGGCTCCTGGCCGGCTCCTGTGCCCGTGCCCGTGCCAGACCGGGACCGCTGCGCCCTGTTTGTTTGTAATTCCCACCCTGCAACCAGACACCCCGTGCCCTGCTCCGGTCTGCCTGGAGCCTCCCGGGCTGGGGCACCTTCTGCAGTGCGCACACAGACACCAGGGCTCTGCCAAAACCCGTTGCAGAGCCAGGTGAGGCGCTGCTGCCCCAAATTTCGGGAATGTTCCCCCACAGCAGCAGCTCTGAGAGCTGGGAGGAGCCCCGAGGTCCCCGAGCACCCCGGAGCTGCCTTCCCCTCCCGGGAGGCAGGCTTCGCTCCGCGCTGCCCGCGGCTCACCGTGCCCTTCAGGGCGTCGATCTCGCAGGTGTAGGACTGGATCTGGTGCCGGTACTCCAGCATCTCCTGCTTGGCCTGCCGCAGCGCGTCGTTGTTCTTGTTGGCCGCCTGCGTCAGGTCGTTCACCTGGGGAGATTCGGGGCTCAGCGGGTGCGCTCAGCGGGCAGGATGCCACCCGCCACCCGCGGCCACCCACGCGCGCACCTTGGACTTGTACCACTCCTCAGCCTCGGCGATGTTCTTGGCGGCGATGCTCTCGTACTGTGCGCGGATGTCCCGCAGCGCAGCCGTCAGGTCGGGCTTGGAGATGTCCATCTCCACCTGGATGTGCTGCTCCTGCAGCTGGGCCTGCAGCTCCCGGATTTCCTGGGGGCACACGGGGAGAGGCGTCAGGGCACCTGCTCCGTGTCCCCAGCCCCGGGGGTGCCCGCGGGAAGCGGGGCTGTGCGGGACCTACCTCTTCGTGCACCTTCTTGAGGAAGGCGATCTCCTCCTGCAGGGACTCGATGCGTCTCTCCAGGTCGATGCGTGCCAGCGTGGCCGCGTCCACGTCCTGGGGGGCACGGAGAGGTTGTGGTGACAAGTGCCAGCGGGGGGACGGGGAGGGCGGGGGTCCCAGCCGTGCCGAGTGGCCGGGCATTTAGGGGTGCAGGTACTCACAGCTCTGAAAGCGGCCAGGTTGTTCTCAGCCTCCTCCTTCAGCTGGATCTCCTCTTGCAGCCTGGGGGCAGAGAGGGGGGCATTAGGGGGACCCGGACGGAGCCCCGTCCCCCCCTGCCGCTGTCCCCGCTTGCTGTCCCCGAGCCCAGCGAGGCCTGGTGGGAACAGGGCGAATTGTCCTGCGCTCCCGGCAGGCGGAGGGAGGGCTGGCGGGGGGCCAGGGGCTCTTCCTCCCATTCCCTATTATAGTCATCGGCAGCGGGAGCACAAAGGCATGAGGTCAGCTCGGTGCCACGCTCACTGCCCCGGCCCTTATAGGGACGAGTGGCCGGCAGCCGGGGGCACGGGGGGCCTGAGGGACGGCCACCAGCTGAGCCCGTCGTGGGGACGGCAGCAGAGTGAGCTGGGCACGCAGCTCGGGGTACGGGGCAGCGGGGGGAGGCACAGCGGGTCGCTGGGTTTGGGGATCTCCTCAGTGCTGTGGGGGCAGCTCTGGGATGTGCCCGGGGAGGGGTGCAGGTGCCCCAGGACGTGGCTCTCGGAGCCTCAGGGGGGTGGCGATGCCCAGCCATGCTGGCACAGAGGGCAGCAGGAACCTGACACCCGTTTGCCCTGCGCCCTGCTCCTCCCCTGAGATTTGGGGTCGTCCCTCCAGGAGCTGGGACAGCAGGGTGGCAGGAGAGCCCCGCGGCCCCCAGCCTCACCGCAACAGGGGTCCCAGCTCCAGCTGCTGCTCCTGCCTGTCTGGGGCTGCTGCTCTGGGTGGGGGGCAGCAGGCTGGGTCACCCAGGAGATGGGTACACCAGCCCCCTCGCCCATGTCCCCCCAGAGACACAGCAGCCAGGGGGAAGCTGCACCCAGCATCAGGGGTGCTGCTGTGGTGCCATGGGGACCCATGGGGGTCCCTCAGCACAGCCGTCCCTCTGGCTGTCCCCCCCAGCCCCAGCAGGGCCTGCAACATCCCCCGGGAGGCCGGGGGGTCCCTGCAGCTCCCCTGGCACCACGGGCACCCACGGCAGACCTGGCACCCCTGGCCTGCGGAAGCACGGCCGCTTCCTCCGCTCCCTCCTTCGCATCCGGAGCCGGTGGAGCACCCCCACACCCATCTTGCTTCCGCCTGCCCGGCTGCCCCTGTCCGTCTGTCCATCTCTCCATCTGTCCATCCCCCAGAGCTCAGCACACTCACGGGCTGGCTGCCCCTTCCTGGTGGGAGCAGGGCAGGGCTCCCTGATCCCACAGCTCTGGGGGTCCCGTGCCATCGCAGCCCGGTTCCCTGGGAAGGGAGGGCGCAGGGGACACCCCCAGCTGCTGGGGACGTCCTCCCCGCTGGGTGCTCCCTGGGCACCTCACAAGGGTTGGTCAGCACCGGCACAGGGGGTGCTGGTGCCCTCCTCCCTCCCAGGACTCGCAGGACCATGGTGCAGACCCAGCAGGTGGCCAGCCAGCGAGGGCCGTGGCCAGGGAGATGGGGCAAGGACACGGGGATGGAGAAGGGGCCACGACGGCAGCGAGCACCCGAGGGGGTGCCGGGGAGCCGTACCCAGGGCTGGAGCCGTCCCCAGGGACGGAGCCACGGGGCGGAGAGGCAAGGGCCCCCCTCACCTCTGCTTGAGCTTCTGCAGGTCATCCAGCAGGTTGTCGCGCTCCACCTCCACGCGTGCCCGCTGGCCGGTCAGCGCGTCCACCTGGCGCCGGAGCTCCCGCAGCTCCTCCTCGTACATCTCGGCCACGCGGGTGGGCTCCTTGCCCCGCAGGCGGTTCACCTCGGCCACCATCAGGGCGTTCTGCTGCTCCAGGAAGCGCACCTTCTCGATGTAGTTGGCGAAGCGGTCATTGAGCTCCTGCAGCTCCACCTTCTCGTTGGTGCGGGTCTGGAGGAACTCCTGGTTCATGGCATCGGCCAGGCTGAAGTCCAGCAGCTCGCCGGCACCTTGGTAGGCGCTCTGGTAGGTGCGCAGGGGCGTCACGCGGGTGGTGCGGAAGGTGGAGTAGCTGGGCACGGCCGAGGTGCGCGACACCTGGTAGACGCGGGAGGTGACGGAGCTGCCGCTGCCCTTGCTCCCGAAGGAGGCGCGGGGGAAGACCGGGGAGGTGCCGCCGAAGGTGCGGCGGTAGGAAGAGACCCGCTGGCTGGAGGAGTAGGACTGGCTCATGGTGGCGGCGGTGGAGGCGGCGGCGGCGGCGAGGCTGGAGCAGGGAGCAGGGAGCAGGAGCAGGAGCAGGGCTGGCGAGCGGCCGGAGCTCGGCGAGGCGTCGGGAAGGGACCCGCGCCGCCGCTATTTGTATCCTGCTGACATCACCGGCCCCTCCTGCTCCGGGACAGCTGGGGGATGCCGGGGGGGACGGCCGACAGCCCCCGCCCCCCAGTGCTCACCTGCGGGCACCGCCGGGCCACGGCCCCCCCATGGCCCCCTCGTGGCTCACAGCCCCTCCTGGGCACCCCCGGGCACCCCAAAACCTCCCGTTGGTGTGACTGCCCCCCGTGTCCCCCTCTGCTCTGCCCCACCCTGGGCAATGTCCCCAGGGGAACAAGGAGAGGATCGGGGGGCAGCGGATGGTGACCCCCCCAGATCCCCCATGGGGCGCAGTGCCCCCCCACAGGGGTGCCCATGCAGACAGATGATGTGGGGGGGAAGGAAGGGGGCTCAGCCATTCGCACCATCACTTGCCCCTCCTGGAGCCCAGACCCCATGTCCCAGTGGGCACACTCCCCAAATTGGCCTTGGGCACCCCAAAATGTCCCCAGGCACCCCAAAATGTCCCCATTAGCACCCTGACCTGCCCCATGGCAAGAGGCCCAGGCTCGGCTCCCTGCTTGGGGCCGGATAACAGTGACCCTCCTCGAGGACCTGCCCCACAGAGAGGGGGACACAGGGGTCCCTTTGGAGGGGGCGACATGGGGGGCCCTGCCTTGAGTGTGTTTGGGCCGACCCCCCCGGGCAGACCCCCCCTTACTGACATAGAGGGGTCCGGGGTGGGGCTGGGCACCCGCGGGGAGGTGCTGAGTGACCCCGAGCAGGTGCCGGGGTGCGGAGCGCTCGGTGGCGGTGACATCAGCGGGTCCCGGCCCCGGCACATTCCCGAAGCAGCAGGCACCCAACCAAAATAGCCTCCCTGCTCATCCGCGTGGGACATGCGTGGTATTTATAGCCGGGGGAGGCACCCTCTTAACCCTGCTTGTGCCGGGAGTGTGGACGGGGACCCCGGTCAGAGCAGCCCCAACACCCTGGTCCCTGTCACCCCACGAGCAGGGCGAGGTCCCCGGGAGCAGCAGGCTCTGCCCTGTCTCCTCAGCCTTCCCCTTGACCCTGCAGTGCTTTGGGGAGCAGAACGCCCGGCCTAACTCCCCAAAACGTCCCAGGGTGGGGCTGTGCTGGGGGCACCCCCTCCTCTCCAAGCCCCACTGCCCACCCGCTGACCCCCCGCCCTGCCCACCCCAGGCTGCTTTGTCCAGCAGCAGCTGGCACGGCCCCAGTGCCACCGTCCCCAGGGTGTCCTGGGGGTGGACACGGCGGTGCCACCGGGCGCGTGGTGACTCAGCAGCAGGAGCAGTGCTCAGCCTCGCACGCCGCGCACCTCCTGGCCCCCTGCGCCAGCTGCAGCGCGGGCACCGAGCCGTGCCAGGGCCTGGAGGCTGCATCCTGCACTGCCCCGGCTCCCTGCCAGCCTGGGGGGCAGCGAGGGTCTGGGTGCCGTGGCCGTAAGGTGGGCAGAAGCTGGAGGCCCCAATTCTAGGCTGTGCCCCCCCCTCCAAGCCCTCCCAAGCTCTGGAGCCCCTCCAGGCTGCTTAGACACAGCATAATGCCGTGGCTTCCCGGACGGTGCACGCTGCCTGGCGGAGCCTGCCTTTAAAAGGGAAGGTATTTCCAGATGGGGCTGTTTCATCCCAGCACGGGGTGAGTGGGGGGGGGTGGGGGAAGATGGAAAAACATACAGCATCCTTCCTCCTCCTGGCCCTGCTCCCGGAGTGCCCGGCGCATCCCTGACCCCGCACGTGCGCCCTGCCCGCCCCACGGCGCCTCGGGCAGGCAGGGTGGGACGCCAGCCCCTGGCTCGGGCGCAGAGGGGCACGGGGGACCCCACGCTGGCACGGGGAGCCTGCCCCACTGCTCTGCTGCCCCTTCCCCTCACCCCATCTGCAGGGTTGGGGTGCTCCTGGGCGCCGCTGGGCGCAGGGGAAGCGGCTCCAAGGGGTTAAGGAGCTGCGTGGCGCTGATCCTGCTGTGGGAGAAGCTTTCTGAAGTGGCCTTTCCTCAGCCGCCCCGACAGCCTTCCGGGACATCTCCGCGAGGGCAGAGGCCCCGCGGCTGGCGTGGACAGGCGGACGCCTCTTAGGAAATCCCCTTCCCCGAGGAGCAGGCACAGGAAAGGGGCGGGGAGGAGCGGGAAGGAGGGGTCGGGGTGCACTGGCACCCCCAGAGAGGGACCCTCCGCCGCACCGGGGGGCTAACTCCTCTCTGCACCCCAGGGGCATGGAAGGGGCTTGTGGGGTCCCTCCTGCTGGGGAGGATGCCCAGCATCACCCAGCGGCCGTGCAGCTCCAGCCCGGGCCAGGCTGACCCAGCCCGAGCCTGGGAACGGGGCCCCAAGCCCCGCTGCTGGCTTGGCCCCAGCTCCCTTAGGGCCCTGGGATGGGGCCGTAGCGGGAAGACGTCGGGAGCTGGAACGTCAAACAAGGCCCGTGAGCCAAGCCAGCTGCATCCCGCAGCCGCCCCTCCTCCCCGGCCCTCCTCCCCGCTGCTCCCCCAGGATTTAAGGAGCGCGGGGAGCCAGGCACAGCCTCCCTGGGGCTGCGGGCACCAGGGGCCCGGAGCCGGGCAGGGTGCGGGGTCGGGGCGCCGGCTCCATCCTGGTGCCCGAGTGCGGCGCCGCGTGCCACTGGGGCCACCCGGCTGCGCGTGCCCCTGGCGAGCAGGGGTGACCGGGTGGATGGGAATGAAGCACCAGGGCGGCGTCCACCCCCTCCTTGCTGGCCCCCGGCCCTCTCCCTGCGTCCCGCTCCTTTTACAGCCACGAGCCTCGCCGGCGCCTTTACCCTAAGAGGGAAGGACCGTGCGCCCATTCCCCGGCGCTGACAGGCCCGGGGCGCGTGCTATTGTCTAAATAGGAGATCGCGCTCCTTCCCCGCCTGGACCACGGCCCAGGCAGCGTGCCGGGGTCCCCAGGAGGTTGTGGGGGCACCGCAGGCTGCAGCCCACCGCCCGCTGCTCCCCTCGGCTGCCCCCGGGGTTGGGGATGCTGGGGGTCACTGCCGGTACCCAAGCACCATGGGGATGCTGGGGGTACCTGGCTGACCCCACAGCACGTGTGGATGCTGGGGATGGCCAGCTATCCCCCATAATTTACAGGGATGCTGGGGCATGTTTACTTGCCCCCTGTGGTCCACGTAGATACCTGAGGCCAGTTGTTGCCTCTGTGGCCCATGAGGATGCTGGGGGAGGACCTGTTGCCCCCAGGGCCCGTGCGGATGCCTGCACTGATCCCGGCCACCCTCATGATCCGCACGGGTACTGGTGATGCTCACTCGACCCTCATCCTGTGGGGATGCTGGGGATACCCCACTGCCCCCACAGCCCTCGGGGGTGGTCCCCTCCCCTTGTGGCCATGGGGATGCAGCCCAGCTGCCCTCAGTCTGCACAGCCCCACAATAACCGGCCGCCCCGGTGCTCCAGGAGGATGCTGGGGGTGCCTGCACAGCCCCGCTGGCACCAGCCGTGCCAGTGAGATGAGGTAGTGCCTGCAGCCCGGCACGCCGCGTGGCTGGCGGCTCACGTAAGGCAGAGGCCGTGCGCTCAGCCCGCAGCAATGCCGGGCGGTGACAACACTTCCCCATGCTCGGGCACGTGGCCGGGGCTGCGTGGGTGCCGTCCCTGCCCCGGTCCTGGCAGAGCAGGGGTCCGGGCTGCAGAAGCAGGGGCAGCCCTTCCCCTTCCCCTTCCCCTTCCCAGGGCTCCCGCTGTGTTTACACACCCCTCCCGGGCCATCTCTCCCTTAACTCTTTCCTGTGGGCTCAGCTCTGCCTGCCCGATCCCAGAGCCACCAGCCAGCCCAGGGAAGGCTTCCCGGTGCCCAGCCCACACCCTGCTGGTCCCTGCACTGCTCGGCACCCTGCTCCCCGCCAGCCACCCCTGGGGATGCGCATGAACCCTGCAAGCACCCCAAGGAGGAGCTGGAGCTGGCTCCGTGGGGCTGGTGGGGCTGCCTGGGGCTCCTGCAGCACCGGGGGGGCTGTGGGACACGGCGGTTCGGGGACTGGAGCAGATCCTCCTGGTGGGGTGGGGGGTGGCTGCGGCAGGTGCGGCACAGACCCCAGCACCCAGCCAGGGGTGAGTCAGAGAGTGCCCAGAAATAGACTCCCGGAGCTTTTTCGGGAAGCCCCCGTGGCTCCGGGAATAGCTGCCACATGCCAAGGCGCTGCCCTTTGCTCGCTGCTCCTGGGGCTGTGCAGGGGCCACACCCGGCCCTGCCACTCACCCACGCCCCCATCCTGGGCACCCCCACCCCCGGGACCCCCACTCTGGGGACCCTAACCCCAAGGCACCCCCCGATCCCACACCCAGCCACTGGGTGGGGACACATCCATCCGGGGCACCCGCACCCTACAGGCACCCCCATCCTGGGATCCCCATGGGTTCTGGGGTCACACCTGATCCGGGCACCCACTTTGGAAATGTCCCCAGAGCTGGGCCCCAAGCAGCCAGGTGCCCGTAGCAGTGGGGGTGATGGTGGCAGGAGGAGCAGGGGGTGGTGGCACAGGGTGCCCTCGGCAGGAGGGTGAAGGGCAAGGTGCCGGGCGCCCAGCCCTGCCCTGGGGCAGCGTTGGGCCCCGTGTTTTGCTGTGGTGGCTGCGGTTGACATGGAGACCCCCCAGCTGTCTGCTCGCAGGGTGCCAGGAGGTGGGGGCACTTGTTCCCCTCCGGGGGGGGAGAGGCAGGTGCTGGGGGCTGGGAGCATAAATCCGGAGCTGTCGTGAGCTGCCGGCACGGCAGGGCCCGGGGTCAGGGGCAGCAGCACCGCCAGTTTCCAGTCCCCCAGACACGGACGACGTCTCAGGCTAACGGTGCCCGTGCTGGTGACTCAGGAGCTGGGAATCCGGCTGGCACCCAGCTCCTAGCCCCTGCGTGCCACTCGCAGCCTGCCACGTGTGTCCCACCCTGGGCCACGCAGCTTTCAGGGAAAACGGAGCCCTGCTGGGAACTGAGGGCAGTGCTGGGGGGAGCCCTCATGCTGCTGACCCCGACCCGTGCCGGGGGATGAGGTGAGGGCA